GAGAGAGAGAGAGAGAGAGAGAGAGAGAGAGAGAGAGAGAGAGAGAGAGAGAGAGAGAGAGAGAGAGAGAGAGAGAGAGAGAGAGAGATGTGACTGAATGGGCAGCGAAGAAACTGACCACTTGATGCATGGATCAGACTCTGATGATCTGCATGCAGTCACTGCAACACAATTTTCGCCTCAACCCCGCTGGATCCATTTCTCCCTATGCACAGCAATGCACCCCTTTGATTTTCACTTCTACCCCTATCCTGCTTTCCCCTCCACTTCGCCCCTCCCAATCCGTCTTTTTTCGTCCTTTTTTCCACAAAACTGCATGCTCCACACACAATAATAATCATACTGGCGCACACGGCTTTTGCACATCTTGTAGGAACCTCTCTGCCACCGCCATATCCTGCTTTCCCCTCCACTTCGCCCCTCCCAATCCGTCTTTTTTCGTCCTTTTTTCCACAAAACTGCATGCTCCACACACAATAATAATCATAACATCTAGATGTGTATAAGAGACAGGTTTCTCAGTTTTCAATGGGTCACTGGCACTCACATAACCATATGCAAATGAACCCAAAAAAAAAAAAAATTTAAAAATAAAAATACAGCCGACGTGTTGACCGGTGAATCCTGTTTGCTGACTGGTGGTTTAGAGCACTGTAAGAACGACATCGCCATTATTGGGCCTCGCTCCAGAACTCTCGACATGCAGAAAAGACAAAACAAATGGCTGTGTATCTTCCTATTTTCTAGCGGAAGATTGATTCTCATTTTGCACAGTTGGTGAGTACTGGAGAGAGGGGCTGAGAGGCCCATTATCTGCAAAGTCTTCACAAATAAAGGAATGAATGAATCAATAGCTGATATGAAGTTGGAAAAAAGAAACAACTGGCATAAAGTTGGGGGCCACGGAAGATTGTGTAGAGCTGTCCAAAAACATCAGGCATTTTCCTGGGCAAAACTACCAAAGCAAAGAAGGGGAGAATCCAACAGAAAACTGGGAACCAAATCAGAGAACTGCAAACACAAGTACACACTCAGCCACTCTTACAAATGACGGATGGCGGGTAGCTGCGCAAGGCGGCGATGATTTCTTTGACTTCGGCACCTACCGCCACTCTCCCCCTGAGGATCCTCCTATATGGTGCTGTGCAGTGTTCAGTTTGTTGTCAACAACACTTAATTCAGCTGCTCTTGTCATCGTTGCACTCTCTCGTCTTCCGCGCTTGTGCCTCCATGAAACTCTCTGGCGCTATCGAGCAGGGATTATTTGTTCTTACCAACCATGTAGACTGCAACCGTCTGTTTCTACTTCAACCAGCAGCACCTGTCTTTGCGATACCTGCAATTCGGCTTTTGCATCCCTCCCTCCACATTAGGTACCTGCACTCGGACTCGGACATGCGATCGAGAAAATGCACAGCAGTGCTCCGCCGGATACAATACATATATAACCGCTGTGTACCGCTGTGGAGCGGGCTGTCGTCGGCTGAGTAGCCCTGTACCAGTTCACACATTCCGGAATCTGAAGACATCGGCCCCACAACGCTGATGCTGAGTTGTCCATTTTCAGCTGCGAGCTGGTAAAAACAATAGGTCATGGGCGGAGAGGACCCGTTGGTTGAGCTGCAGCTCAACTCTGAAGAATCTGGTTCTAATAATAGAACTTGCTGGCTGGCGTTTGCAAGAAAACAAACAGTCTGCATCTAGGCTGGGCCGAACCTTAGCCAAACGTGACTTGCACACTGGAAAGAACATGTAAGAGGGGAGGAGCAGCCAAGTGAGATGGACAGCGGGAAGGAGAGGGCGGTGGGGGCGGAGGAGGAGGGGGGGTTCTATTGCTGACATGCAGTAGAGAGAGGAGAACAGCCAAATGACTCTCGGAAGCAGCAAGGCAAGGGATGGGCCCACTTTGCGTCATCTGCAAGAGACGTTATGCCACCCAGTATGCGGATTGGCGAAGTCCTACATATATTCCGCTGGAGCTCTTTATGAACCGTGGATTCTGCCCGAGCTCCTCAGAAGCAAAGCCGAGGGTTTGCTACTTGACTTTGGCAGACACCCTACTACTACATCATGTATATTCCTCTCACTGCTCTACATGCTATGTTTGAAGTATGTACCTGCTTAAGGGTGCCCTATTGGCGGGCACCTTCTACCAATCCAGTAGGGAGGATGTGTGTGTGTGTGTGTGTGTGTGTGTGTGTGTGTGTGTGTGTGT